AGAAATATTTTCGTTATTTACATTATTTACATCAATATGGAAAGACTATTTAATTAAATAATTGCATAATTATAATACGTATACGTATCAAGTAATGATCATAAAAATTGAACCTCTGAAGTATCAAGCCACCATGGCGCACCAACCTGCTACACATTTCCAATTTAAAGCTTTACACGTAAAATAAACATCGAAGAAATCGTGAAAATGAATTAGATTTGTATTTACAGCAACAATAGTTTTAACAGGAAAAAATAGTACATGGAAAAAATTATTAAAAAGATTTATTACTGTCTCGACAATAATAGCCAAAAATAATGATATTGCTAACAATATTGGATAGATGATAATAAAATATATAGAAAATGGACTCATTTATGCAGCAACTCAGGAATCGAATGCCTTGGCATCATCCCGAAGTGAATTCTACTTAACCGATTGAGCAATTGAATTTGTAAGAAGTTGAAATCATAAAACTTAAGAAGCAAATGCCACTTTAATGCTGGTTTAAACTATAATAAAATTTTCATTTCTACTTTTCATTTCTGAGTTCTCTGATTTCAACTAATAAATGGTTTCTTTATATTAGCATTGTTATAATAAAATATTTGTATATCGTTCATCAGGAAATTTTGAAAACTGATTGTAATCGATTAAAATCTGGTAATTTTAATCAATTATTATCACCCCGCCGATAAAGATTTTAATAAAACTAATCGATTATAATCGATTTAATTTAATCGCTTTTACTCATAATTGACTATTATCGACCGATTTTGATTTATAGCGCTTTGCAAAAAGATGTAACCCTATGATTTTTATGATGATAAAAGAGGAAAATTTCCGAGATTCTAAATTGTCTATTAATTCATATTTTTGATCAGTTATATTTATATTTATTTAAAATCGATAAGATTCTTAAAATCTACAGAATCTCTGATTTTCACACGACATTGTGATCTGCAGAGATCACATCTTTTTGCAAAGCGCAATAAATCAATTATTATCATCTCCACCGATAATAATCGCTCAAAATTAATCGATTATAATCGATTAACTGCTTGCAACAAATTATAATCAGGTTTTAAATTTTCTTGATGTTTATTAAAGAATCAACAATAGTTTCGATAGAGAAAGAGACCGAAGCGAAACTTTGAGAATTTATAGTATATTGAGTAATGAATTAAGTATCATAGAAGTTAAGACATCGACAAATGTAACTAAAAGAAATTTACGAGATATTCATTCAGTGCTACTGTCAATGCTGAACTGGGCACACCGAAGTGGCTATCATAAATTGCTTTTCCAACAGTGACACTATCAAGTTTTTGTATACTGTCAACCAGAAAATTAACCCTAGGATTTCCTGGTGACTATTTCGCCCTTATCGATAGCTAAAGGACAATAAGCATTTTTGACGTCAGAACATCATTCGGTTCTGACAAAATTGATAACACAACCTCTAGTATAGTATAAAAATGCCTATATTTTTGAAACGCCTTTTATTAAAAATAACATTACGAATATATAAGATCTGCTATGTATAGGGATGCACCGGTCCAGTCCGGTCCGGTCCTTAGCAGGACCGATTACATAATGGTAACGGTCCGGTCCAGTCCCGTCCTCAGTCCCTCAACGGTCTCTTGTAGCACAAGCTGTGATTGGTCAATTTTTTACATTAACGTTAACAATGATAACGCTAGTTCAGTAGTTTGCCAC